CCTTTCCCTGCACGCATCTGAGCAGCACATGCAAAAGCTCTCTCTCTCGTGCCAGCCGCGTTAGCTCCTTCTCCGAGATCGTGCCAAGCCTGCACAAGCATCTTCTCAATCAAACCAGCCCAGTTTAGTTATTGAACCTCTAATGAGTCCCGGAGGACTCCTTAAGGCTCAGAGGGGTCACATCAGCCTCATCTGGTCCTACAGAGCTTCTCTTCAGAGTCCCAAAACCTCACAGGGCTGCTGGAGACAGCAGCTCCAGAGGAGTAGGGAACGACCCCCAGGAGCTTCCCGAGCCATCAGCTGCAGTTCCCTCAGACACTAATTAATTAGCTCACGTGAAACACTGAGATTGTCTGGTATTTTACCGAGATCATCTGGTATTTCTCAGCCGAAAGGAGAACCACAGAGCATTCATTTGCAACAGTGAAACAGAGGGCTCACCAAATGGAAACCAAACCGAAGAGAGATGTTGTGCTCAGCTATGTTTCAAATGCTGCTGTAAGATAATTAAACGGGCACTTATCTGTTTGGCTGGGTTTTAAACACAGCAGGTGCGTTTACGATCCATCAGACTCCCATTTCTTGCTGTGATCCTGAAGCAGCAAAAGGCAGCGACTCTTTGCAGGCTCTGAAATGACACAGAGAAGGGGGGAGGAACAAAAAAAAAAAAAAAAGATCAAATAAAATTTACAGACCAGGTTAATGATCCAAAGTAAATACCAAACTCCATACTTCTGTCCACATAGGGTTTTTTAATACTACTGCCATACAAAAGTATTTGGAGATAAAACAGTCCAGTCCAGTAAATTTCAAAAAAGTGAAATCTATCAGGATTTGTTCCAGAAGCTGTTGAGGCAGGGGCGAGGGTCAGAGGGGAGAAAGAAAGAGTAACAGAAAGCTATTGAATAGCACTTCAAAGAGACACCTAGCAGAGCCCACTGCCTGGAGAGACCATTCCTGCCTGCTCTGCTTTCCAGCTACATTCCAGCACCAGGCACATTAAAATGCAGAGATGTTAATCCTTGTGGCAATACTTAAGAATATTCACAATGTGCTTAGCACAAAGGAAACACACAAAGCTCCTTTTTGTTCACCCTTTTGACTTAAAGGACAGACCCAAATCCTTCTAAGTCCAAAATGCAGTACCTTTGCACGAGATCATCAGGCAGCAGCACTGGAGGAAATCATACTCATTCCACACCACCTCACTCCTGCTGGATCTTTACTCTCTTGTTCTTCTTCCTTACTGGTTTTTACTATTATTATTATTTAGCTGTTATTCTTACCTCACAGGCACTGCAGCATGGATGGAGATGAAGGAGGCAGGCGAAAAGGGAAAAACATTTGTTATTCCTGACCGTGTCTAGAGGCCCCAGCTGAGAGCAAGACCCCTCGTGATCAGCACACAGGCAGAGTCGAGGTTACTCTGCTGAAAAGCTAGGGATACAAACAAGCAAGCTGGAGAAAGTAGAGGAAGGAGAAAGCATCATTCTCAGCTGGGGAGCTGAGACCTAGAGCAACTAGTGACCTTCCTCCTATCATGCACAAAGCGGGTGGCATCCCTGGGAAACAGATCACACCTCCAGAGCCCCAGTTCAATGACTTACCCAAAAAAAAAAAAACCAACCCAGCTACTAGGGAATACTCCTAACTATTTACAGCTGTATTTTCTTTGAGTGGGACCCAATCAATACCATACAGCCAAGAACAGGTTAACCCCTTCCTTTTCACACTGAAAAAAAAAAAAAAAATGCAGGCATCAAACTGTTCTCTGCAGTCCCGCTATTATTAAATTTTTTTGTTGCCAAAAATGTCACTCCAATGTCCACCAGAAGGCACAGGATCTAACTAAATAAAATCAGCAGTGAATGGGAGCTTTCCTATTCATGCATGAAAGTAGCATAAATAAGTTTTAATGAGACTTGTGGTGGCCTCTTCTGGGAACTTAATCAGGAGAATCTATTTAGAAGACCTGCGAGGTGTTTGTTTACAGTCCGAAATGAACACATGAAACAGGCTGAAAAGACAAGACACGCAGCTCAACTTCTCTTCAGCTTTCCACAGCTGTTTTTACAGCCCTGGATAAGAAACTGAAAGGGACAGTAGTTAATAAATCAGACACAGGCTTGCAGCCTGAGATGTAGTAATAAATCCAGTGACTGCCTCAGGTGTAAATATAAGAATAATTCCCATTGGCTCCTCTTTCTACAAGGTTTCACAAATTCAGTCTTGCAAGTTCTCTATCAAAAGACTGACATTTCCTAACATTTCTTTCTTAATGAAAATATATTTCTTTAAGCTATGACAGACAAATGGTTCTTGGCTCAGGTCACATCACCTTTATCATCTCATTTAGGCATTTCCACTTGTCCTTTGGACAAGAGTGACTGTTTTTGGAAAACAAGATTGATGATGTGGTGAGCCTGGACCTCTTGATGATGTGATGAACTTTTAATTGAGAACCTAAAAGTGTTGAATCCACAGACTTTGGCTCTTTGGCTTGAAATTGGACTACAATGAGTCTGGTTTTCAAGCAGCAAAATTCCTGTTGCTTTTAGAGTTCTTTCCTGCCTGGATTTATATCCTAAACCAAGTTTAAAATTCTTTGCTACAGCCAGTCTGCCAAAGCAGCCATTACAAGCAGAGATGTGTTAATAATAGTAGCACTGATTGATTTTCACAAGATGTACAGATCAGATGATGTCATCTCACTTTTCTAAGCATCTGAGTGTAACTCCCCATCCAACTGCCCCAAGAAACGCATACTCCTCTGCATCCAGAACTGATTTTCCATGGATGTCGTGCAGGAGCATTGTCTCTTTCACGAATATTTCTTCTTTCCATGTTGCCAGTGACATGCAAAACACAAATATGGGAGACACACACCGCTGACCAAAATAGACTCAACTATTCTTCTACAACACCAGCTAGTAAAGACGATCAGAAAGATGCACCAGCATCCCTGTGAAATGAACACAATCCCCCTTCCTTACAGGCAGGGGAAGGGAATATGCCAGGCACTTGCCTCCCTGCCCATTGGACCCAAAGGATCAGAATCCACAGGACCAAGCATTGGGCCACATAAAATCCTAAGACAAAAAGCCACTTAACTAGGGGACTGTCTCACATAGTAGTGCTTCCTGAGGCCAGCGTCTTGGCTGTATAATATGTCTTGCGGGGGACAGTGTAGGGGACTGTCTCTAGAAGTT